TGTGTAAACGCTTTTGTGTGTAAAAGCTCCTCTGTGTGAAGGCTTCTCTGTGTAAAATAAGCTTCTGTGTGCAAACGCGTCTGTGTGTAAAAACCCCTCTGTGTAAAGACTTCTTCGTGTAAAAGCTTCTGTGTGTAAAGGCTCCTAGACGTTTGTGTGCAAAAGCTCCTTAGAGTAAAGACTTCGCTGTGTAAAACCTTCTGTGCGTAAAAAGCTCCTTTGTGTAAAGACTTCTCTGTGTAAAAGCCCCTGTGTGTGTAAAAGCTTCTGTGCGACTCCTCCCTCCAGCTTTCTTTCGGGTCACGCTGTCGTCCAGTTTCAATCTGCAACATTGTTTCCAGTTTCAATCTGCAACATTGTTTCTTGTGGAAGAAGGCAAAGAACAGGTGAAAGCATCGCAGTTTAAAAAATTGAACATAAACAGCGCACAAAGTGTTGTAATTTACAGCATTTTGCGCTGTCAGATGGCAAGAACCCGCGTAAATACCACAGTTTTAGTCCCCGAAAGTGGCTAAAACACTGTTATTTACAGGGTTTCGTTCACGTCACGATCTTCGATTTTTTGGGAAACGCGTAAATACCAGCGTTTTTTCCGTTCATCAAGGCAAAAAATCGGTTCAGAAAGGGAAGAAAATGCTGTAATTTACAGGGGTTTGGCGCCGCCACGGGCAAAAAACTGCGTAAATACCAGCGTTTCGGCGTCCAAAAGTGGCCAAAACACCGCTATTTACAGTGTTTCGTGCCTTCCACGTTTTCTTGAAATTGCAAAAACACTGTGAATACCAGCAGTTTTTGCGATCAACACGCCAAAAATGCTGTAATTTACAGTGTTTTTTTGCTTGGCTTTCAAAAACACTGGTATTTGCGGTGTTTTGTGCATCTTGGGTCCAAAAAGTATTGGTATTTACAGCATTTTCTGCGTTTTTGCATGGCTCCCGCAAAAGATGTTAAAACGCAAAAATGCTGTAATTTACAGCATTTTGTGACTTTCGAAAAGCGAAAAATCGTCCGAAAAATGTGTCAAAACGGCGCTTTTTTCCGATTTTAGGTACCCTCAAAACGGGGGGGGGGGAATGCTCTTGGAGACGCTTATGAGCGACCCGGATCCCGGCCAAAAAGCTCTCCCCCACCCTCCTGAAGGATTTTTCGTGTTTTTCGGGGCCCGGCGTCGGAGGGTCGGCGGTTGGGGGCGCGCCTCACCTTAGAGCTCTAGTCGCTCTGGGACGCTCGTAGGGCAAGCCACTCGTGGGGAGCCGGCGGAGCCGAATTTAAGGGCTGCCGCCCCCTGCCGCCGACCCCTCCGCCAAGGGCGCCGGGAAAAAGGTTTAAGGGCAGCCTAGGGCGTCGGGACACGTTTAGGACGTTTAAGGGCAGCCTAGTGCCTAACGTTGCTTTCTGAAACCAGAAGAAAATCTCCAGGAAAGCGCCCGGCAGGTGGCCAAAGGACATGCTGCTGGGCCGCCAAGGGCGCCGGGAAAAAGGTGTAAGGGCAGCCTAGGGCGCCGGGACACGTTTAAGACGTTTAAGACGTTTAAGGGCAGCCTAGTGCCTAACGTTGCTGTCTGAAACCAGAAGAAAATCTCCAGGAAAGCGTCCGGCAGGTGGCCAAAGGACAGGCTGCTGGGCCGCCAAGGGCGCCGGGAAAAAGGTTTAAGGGCAGCCTAGGGCGCCGGGACACGTTTAAGACGTTTAAGACGTTTAAGGGCAGCCTAGTGCCTAACGTCGCTTTTGAAACCAGAAGAAAATCTCCAGGAAAGCGCCCGGCAGGTGGCCAAAGGACAGGCTGCTGGGCCGCCAAGGGCGCCGGGAAAAAGGTTTAAGGGCAGCCTAGGGCGCCGGGACACGTTTAAGACGTTTAAGACGTTTAAGGGCAGCCTAGTGCCTAACGTTGCTTTCTGAAACCAGAAGAAAATCTCCAGGAAAGCGCCCGGCAGGTGGCCAAAGGACATGCTGCTGGGCCGCCAAGGGCGCCGGGAAAAAGGTTTAAGGGCAGCCTAGGGCGTCGGGACACGTTTAAGACGTTTAAGACGTTTAAGGGCAGCCTAGTGCCTAACGTTGCTTTCTGAAACCAGAAGAAAATCCCAGGAAAGCGCCCGGCAGGTGGCCAAAGGACATGCTGCTGGGCCGCCAAGGGCGCCGGGAAAAAGGTGTAAGGGCAGCCTAGGGCGCCGGGACACGTTTAAGACGTTTAAGACGTTTAAGGGCAGCCTAGTGCCTAACGTTGCTTTCTGAAACCAGAAGAAAATCTCCAGGAAAGCGCCCGGCAGGTGGGGCAAGGGTTTAAGGGCAGTTAGGGCGCCGGGACGTTTAAGGCAGCCAGTGCCTAACGTTGCTTTCTGAAACCAGAAGAAAATCTCCAGGAAAGCGCCCGGCAGGTGGCCAAAGGACATGCTGCTGGGCCGCCAAGGGCGCGGGAAAAAGGTTTAAGGGCAGCCTAGGGCGCCGGGACGTTTAAGGCCAGCCTACTGCCTAACGTTGCTTTCTGAAACCAGAAGAAAATCTCCAGGAAAGCGCCCGGCAGGTGGCCAAAGGACATGCTGCTGGGCCGCCAAGGGCGCCGGGAAAAAGGTTTAAGTGCAGCCTAGGGCGCCGGGACACGTTTAAGACGTTTAAGACGTTTAAGGGCAGCCTAGTGCCTAACGTTGCTTTCTGAAACCAGAAGAAAATCTCCGGGAAAGCGCCCGGCAGGTGGCCAAAGGACATGCTGCTGGGCCGCCAAGGGCGCCGGGAAAAAGGTTTAAGGGCAGCCTAGGGCGCCGGGACACGTTTAAGACGTTTAAGACGTTTAAGGGCAGCCTAGTGCCTAACGTTGCTTTCTGAAACCAGGAGAAAATCTCCAGGAAAGCGCCCGGCAGGTGGCCAAAGGACATGCTGCTGGGCCGCCAAGGGCGCCGGGAAAAAGGTTTAAGGGCAGCCTAGGGCGCCGGGACACGTTGAAGGCCAGCCTAGTGCCTAACGTCGCTTTCTGAAACCAGAAGGAAGTCTCCCAGGAAAGCGCCCGGCAGGGCGACCTTACGCGTTTAATGCCCGCGCAGACGGCATTTCCCCCACTTTGGGCGAGACCGCTCATGCGGCCCTCGGGGGTGGGTTTGCAAAGATCTTGAGCCAAAGACTACCACCATACGAACCGGTGGCCTTCAAACAATCGACGCAATCAGAATCCTGGAAAAACTTTTTCTCGGGCGCGCTCCCCCTGCAGCTTGCTGGGGTCGGCGGATATGTATTAGCAGCCTGCCCATGCACTGTTTGCCTTTGCTCTGACGCTCTCCCCCTGTTGATGGCTGGGGTCGGGGGATATCTCTGTTGTGCGTCACGGAACCGATTTCACCTTGTCCAGTGGTTTGCTCTGCTTTTTTTTTTGGTTTTGGCTCCACCTTACCGTACCTGTTCCATCGGGTCCCGTGTTTAAGGCGCACGTTTGCAGCATTTCCCGAAGCGCAGTGATTCTTTTCAACCTGGATCATAGTTCCTGTTTGGGGTTTTCTGTTTCAGTTAAATTGTCAGTTCCGCAGGAGATGCACGACAAGGGCCTGAAGTTCCCAATTGTCAGGTGGGAATCTGGCTGCAAAATCTTGTCTTCTAAATGGGACTTTCTAGAAATCGGGGGACTCCAAGTACCCCCACCCATGGTCTAGATCAGGAAAGGGAATGCAAAGGGAAACCGTGGCTTGAGTATCCACTTTTTCGAGCACACCTAAGCCTAAATCTTGGCAAATTATATTAGTAGCGACCTCACAACATTAGGTAAGCAGTTGTAAGTAGAACTGCCCCGAAGGGGCTTGAATCATTCCAGGATTTACATAGAATTGCTGAGTGAAATCGTGAGCAGTTGGTGTCGGCCTTGGGAGTGTAGTTCCAGTAAAAAGTGGTTCTGTAACCACAGTAATGGGGGTCACATCCAAACTTATGGGAAATTTTAGATCCAATGGTTATGGCATGTTATGGCCATTCACCCCTGGGCACTGCAGGAAGATCCCCAACACCATCAAGAAGCTGCGCACCACCTTCAAGGCCCGAAAACTCTGTGCTGAAGACAGGGTGAGTCTTAAGCCACTGAACTCCAAGTGGATTTTATTGTGATTTTTACAGATTTTGTGTTGTGTACCTCCAAATGGATGGTTCATGAATGTTCTTGATGCGTTCTTGGCTCAAACAGGAAGCTGGCGATCCAGCCAAATCTAACCACTAATTGGGATGCCACACCCCAAATTTGGTGCTTTGAGACTTGAACTATGGGTGGACAGGGGTCCATCATTTTGATAACCAAAAATCAAGCAGGGGCCTCAAGTTTGGGAATTTAAATTGCATAGTTGAATCATTGCGACCAATTCATATCCGCAAGTAACACTATAACATTTCAGCAGTCAATTCCATTTTCTGATAGATTATACTTTCCAGTCGTTTTGGGGGTTACTATATGCAACCACAAGCTCCAGTGCGAACTGGGAACACCATGCTACGCTGTGCAGGCCAAGCGCCCCAACACCTTCGTTCGATGATCGCAGAAGGCGGTTCGATGCGGTTCGTGCAAAGCGGGAATCAAAAGGAGCTGCTCTGAGCTTGGAGTCACTGCAGTTCAGCTTCACCAGGCACCACCCGGCTCTTTATTTTTTGTGGTTTCATGTTGTTTCTTGAAACAAGTTGAGATGAGTTTGTTATTTCCCCAGATATTCTGGACGAGTTTCAACGCGCAAAAAGCGAATGAGGTGCTGTTGAAAGACATGTCATTCGACGCCGTTTGGGGCGGAGAAGCAAGCATGGACATACACATGATGAGGCTGCTATGGCTCTGAAATTAAGAGTTTAAAGCCCTGAGAATGAGTATTTGCCACCAGATCAAGATCAAAAATCAAGATGCATCAATGCAACAAGGCGGTCTTCCAGCCGGAATGTCAAGAGGAAATCGCCGAGAAAATTGACTTGCAGGCAAACCCAAGAACCATTTTTAGTACTTCAGGGGTCTTCCGCTTTAGCTTACCATTCTAATAATTGAAGTAATAATTGAAGCATGCTTTATCCCATGCATCCTTGAGATGGGACGACTGTTCCAGTCGCTGGATGCAGGTGTGGCTGCAGTATTGGAACCCCCAAGATCAAGGAATCTGTCGAAATTGATCCATTCTCAGCCCAGGGGCATGGCATCTGCCAAAGCTGGAGGCCTGGAATATGGGAATAGGTCATGAGACCAAATAAACTAGACCCAATACTAGAATAGTGTATCAATAATGTATCAATATATAATAGGTTATCATATTTGTGAGACAGATAATACCTAGTTATAATACGTATAGATACAAATGTGTGATAATATGATATCGATAGTAATTAATATTAATTATATAGATAATACAATACACCATACTACATAGATAGGATGTAGATATAAAGCAATATAGAATCGAACGAGACTTCTGGCAAGGATAACCCTAGTTGCCAGTTGGGGGACATATGTACATATTAAATAACAAATTTAAATAAATAAATAAAAGTAAACATAAATGACTAAATAAATAAATAAATATATATATATATATATATATATGTATATATATATATATCTATATGTATATTGACTATGATGGCTGATCACTTTCCAATTGTGATGGATACTGACATAACTCTTGGCTGCTTTGTCCTTCTTTGTCCTCACGAGTCGCCTTGCAGCCGCAGGTGTCGTTTCAAGATCCCCATCAAGGAGCTGCTGCTTCACCAGGAGAATACCATATGAGCCAGAATGGCTACTGGGATCAGAATGGTCAGTGGATTGCTGAGGCGGGACCAAACCTGTGAATATTTGGAATCAAAAGCCCAAGTGACAGTGCCGTACCTGAGGCAAGCTTTTGTCAGATTCATGGGTAAATATTTGATCATACATGGGAGGATAGACGTATTTGTTGCAGGGTATGTAAGATTAGCCAATGTGTGGCTTTGTATGAAATAAGGTTCCCCCAAATCCACTGGTTAATCATCTTCCCACTGTTCCGTATGAACTGGCCGAGATGTTAATAGCCTAACTTCCCAGCGTCCATAGCCAGGCCGAGCATGAAGCGCAGGCGCCGGAGGGTTAGCGGATAAATCTGGATAAATGATGATCGATGCCGGTAACAACGAGGATCAATGATTACTTATTGTGGATGATCAATGGTTTGATGATCAATGGTTGATGATCAATGATGAATCATCAATGACAGCCAAGGATTTGGATGATGTTAAGTCAGTTAATGAGGTGAACCCCCAAATATACAACTATAATCAGATATTGTTGGATTATGATTCATAGATATTCATAGTAAGCCATCCCCCACCTGATATGTCATAACTATGTCAAGTCAACCATCCCAACATCCGTCCTTAGACGTTTTGTTCAGGTCGACGCTGTGGCGGAGGCGGAGAATACCCGCTTCGTCACGCGGCCAGCAATTCGCTTGCTCCGGTTGTAGGAGTTTGAGTTTGACTCAGATGTTTGCTTCAAAAATGAAGGGCGTCCCAAAATCAACAAGTGCGCAATATCTATGTATCATTATGTGACATACATACCCAATATTGTGGCCATGGCTTGAACAAAAAACTAATGGGCAGATGAACAGTTTGTCATGTTCTTTGGAACTTGTTACCATGCTGGATGGCTAAAACACTGTGAAGTGGGGTATATAAAAGCATCAAAGAAGAGGCTTCATGCCGCGGTTCAGCTTGGCTGGAGTAAATATTCTCTAAACCAGTTGGTTATGCTCCCTACCTGGGTGCGATTTTTCTTGTTTCAGGCAGGTCCATGCGAGCGCGACCAGTCTTGCAACCTTGTGCTTTGCACACCAGGTTGTTGGAACAGCTTCAGAATATTCATTTGGAGGAAGTCTTGCTTTGGACTTTGGACAGCCTTCAAGATTTCCAACTACCAGATCCAGTACAAGATGTCTCCAGATTATTCTCCAACAGACACTGCAAAATCCAGATATATGGTACATACGTATACATATCACATATCACACACACATAATTATATCTATATATACACAATTATATATATATACTGTATATATATATATATATCTATATATGTCATTTCCAGAGGTTAGTGCACCAAATCCAGATTTGGGAGGACAGCAATCCCCAGAGTTCCCGGCCTAGGAGATGGCATTGGAGGATCCCGCTTCGGTGGTGGAGATTGCCAGTGAGAAGGTGCCGAGCGAACGGCACTGGTTTGTTGGTGGATGGATGTTTCCTAAGTCATGGGGGTACCCCCAAATTCGATCATTTTTTAAATCATGGGATTAGATGTTTAAAGTAGGGGTACCCATTAACTATATAGGTTTCTATACTAAAATAATCTGAAATATGTTTAAATCGTCTTAGACCATGAGTTAGTATTGAAACCTATGGTGACTTGGTGTACCCCCATGACTTAGGAAAGTTCCTTAAATGGCTGTGAATCCTCTCCAATACTCGTATTAGGTGATATAGGTTTTGACACATCACATCCCCATATTTATCATTGGTGAAAGGGGTATAACTACCATTGAATTTTGGAGATCCTAAATATTGGCATCATTGGATTGGTTCAAGCGACAATCCAAAATCTAGAGGAATCATGGCTTTTACACCCCAAATAGTGGGGGTCCGGAACAAAATAATAACTTAAACCAAATCCAATGAATTTTTCCAAAGGACCATGAACGACCTAAAGATGGAGCTACCACTAGCTGAGATTTGACTCGTGTTTGATCATTAAGAAAATGATGTTGAAACATAGTGTAAGACCTATCATCCCAGCTAGGATGCACATATCACTAGTATATGATCAAATAATGTTATGATGATGCGGGATCAGAGATCAGCAATGGAACTAGTTTTCTTCCACTATTTTGCCTCCGGGTCTCTTTGGTTGGCAATCCTCTGATTTCTCTTTGATCAATGGACATGTGAAGGGCAACTCCCAATGCTTTGCACCTTTTTCTCAGTAACAGCATATCTTCAAACTCGCTTGTCTCCATAATGCCCTTTTCGTATCTTTTCGTGGGAAAACAATGGTTTTCTTGCAAGTGCTATCTTAACAGTCACCTGCGAATCCAATGATTGGTAGTGCGATGCCTTTTGTGGATTCTTCACCACGTGTGAATCCTAGCTACAAACAACTGACTTTCCAGTGAATCACCCTGGCAGGCGGGCAAGGCCATTGAGCGGGCCAAAACCATTGCCGGGGATGCTCAGGCGCCGTCCGTGGGATTGCGCTATGTGTCTCTGGGGAAATGATCAATGGATCATGTCCAGGTGGACAATATTGGATAATCAGGGGGAATCAGGATCTTTTTTTGCCTGGGTGATTTGTATGGTGGTTTTTCATAGTTTTTCCATTCCTTTTTTTCACCCTGATTTGTTCTCCTAGCCCTTCAGGACTTACATCATGTTATCGGTGATCCAATGAGACCCACAGCGGCAGGTGTTGCACATGCACTTGCGCAGCCAGAAAACCACCAACTTGGTGGGCAACGTGAGGCATGCCTTGAAGGATCTAATGAGGCTCCGGATATGGGCAGAGAGCATGGATTCAGTCAGATTTTCAGGGTTTGAAGGGCGGACCAGATGTTTCCAAACATCAAAGAAGCTTGAAATCCGCCAGTTGATGGTTGATTTTCGGGACGGCGAGGTGAGGCAGTTGGTTCTTGGAGGTAGCGAATGATTCGGTCCCAGGCGCAACACCAGTGCAAAGTTGAAGACGCAGCTGGGGAAGATGGACGACCATTGGCAAGTCTTGAAGCATTGCCATGGATCCATGGACTCTCAGAGGTGGGGTGAATCAAAGACCGGCGGACCGGAAATGTTTGTCTTTAACTTGGGGATCTCACAACTTCAGCAAAGTGCTTCGCTTTTCTGAGAGGATTGTGGATATTGTGGCAGTTGGTTCAGTTTTCTTTTTTGCAGGCCAACCCATTTGGTAAAGACGCCAGACACAATCTACGGCAAACATGATATGACCATGGCCCCGTGAAGATCTCCCGAATTCCAAACAGAGCCCTGAGGTGCCGGCAGATGAGTCGAAAAGCCCTAATTGGTATGGCCCATGATGCCAGGGCTGCTGCTGCAGCGGTGGATCATGTAGCAGCCCTTGGTCGTGTCGTCAAACGGCGGACCTATCCAATCCTGGATCTACTTCGAATGATGGGCACCCGAGACAGCAACAAGTTGGGCACTTTGGACGTCTTTGGACACATTCGGATACTGGAGAAAATATCATAAAATATCCTTCTCTTCCAACTGAAAAACTTCGCCGAGAAGTGTGAAGAAATTGTTTAAAACTCTCCAGGAGTCTTTTCCCTAGATATCCCATTCCATGGCTGGCTGCGAAACCATACATAACAAATCAATCAAATCATAACAATGGTGTCACTAAGAAAAACGACGTAACAATAACATGTCCATTCCAAAACTTCCAAACTCACTTCCAAAGGGTGTATATAACATGGTTATACATGGTTTAACTATGTTCAACTGTGTTCAAAAGAAAGCGCACGGCATTTCCAGGCACCGGCACGGCGAACCCGCCCGACTTCGCTCCATCGCCTTGGCCGAGCCAGCGGACCGCAGATCAGCCTTTGGGCACCGGGGGCACCCGGTCTCCTTTCGAGGACTGCGATGGGATGATGGGAGACACCGATGATTGGTTTCTGGCCCATCTGATTTTTGTGGACCTTTAGGTGCATTGCAAAAATATGTAAACATCAATTGGACATGATATTAGATAGAATTAGAGCAAATTTCAGTCGGCTCTCCAAGATAGTTTCTTAGCTAATGATAATTTTATTAATGTCTATAATATTCTGTACCTGGAGCCCATCAGGCCCTGTCCGCGAGTAAGAACTGCCGCAAACTACCCTGAAAGATAGTCCTACTTCCCAAATCATTGAATTGCAAAAACCACACACATAAAATGACTCAAAATGGACTCAAACACATTCAAAACGGCTTCAAATTGGAACAAGCAGACTCAAATCTTTTGGGGTCTTGCAAAGCCAGCTTTGCTGCATGCGAAAGAAGGATAAGTTTGGACGATATGGCGACGGATGAGGCAACGTACCTTTCAGGAAGTATCTTGCGCATATTTTTTCCCTCAAATGTCTGAGTCGCTCAATTATGATCAAAACGCACCCCAAACCTAGGGCAAACCCAAACGCCCAAGAATAACTGGGAGAATGAAGATCCAGGCAATCATATTTTTCGATCCATAGATCAAACCATCTTTGAGAAAGGCAGATCTCCAGCACTCAGCTGGGCCAGACCCATGCACTTTCAGCTTGCAAGGGGTCGCAAGTGGCGCTGTAGCCTAGTTTATAGTACAGTAGTAGAAATATACTAGTAATTTATATAGTACTGTAGTAGTTTATATAGGAGGAAACCTTGCAGAATAGCTTCGTTTTCAAGCTTGCAGATAGACAGAAAGATGGCTAGATAGACAGACAGACAGATAGATAAACAGATAAACAGATAGATAAACAGATAGATGACAACTGCGACTGCACTACAACTACAGCTACGACATCAACTACACTTCAACTACAACAACTACCACTAGACTAGAACTACTACAACAACTACAAGTTCAACTACACTTCAGCTAAAACTACAGTTGCAACTACAACTGCAACTGCCATTGCACAACAGTACAACTACAACTGCAAGTGCAACTAAAACTAGAACAACTGCAACAACTACTACAAATACACGACAACTGCAACTGCAACTGCAACTACACTTACAAGTTCAACTACACTACACTGGACTACAACTACAGCTACACTACAACAACAACTACCACTACACTACACCAGACTAGGCTACAACTACAGTTACCACTACCACTACCAGTAAACTACACCACAACTACCACTACAGCTGCAACTACTACCACTACACTACAGCTACAACTTCAGCTACACTACAACAACAATTTCCAAAACACTGCAGTACAACTACAGCTAAAACTGCAACTGCAACTGTAACTGCGAGTACACTACAACTACAGCTACAACTCCTACAGCTACTTCAACTACTACAATTGCATATTCAACTACACTTCAACTACCGTACAACTACTACAACCACAACTACAACTACAACTACCACTACAACATACCACCTTCAACAACATCAACTACACTACAACTACAACTACAAATACAACTACACTACAACTACAGCTACAAATGCAAGTGCATTAGTGCATTACACTTCTGTACACCACACTACATCCTGCAGTTGTGGGTGAGGTAACCGCTGCAACCATTCCAAAAATAACAACCACCGTCGGTCCATCAGTGGATTCGCTCTGCCATCCGTGATTCGCAACAAGCAACCTCTCCTATATGTTTCCAATTTTTGAAACTTCCGCCGCCGCCTTGCGCGGTACTACTGGTAGTAGTAGTTTACGCAGGAGTATTTTATATATGTTCATACAGAGTTGTTCATCCAATCCGTTTAATGCCATGGAACTGAGGTTTTAAGCAGATGGGACTAACGTTAAGGAAAAAGAACTATATCCTATTCATGTTCTCCCATGATGCCATGGTTTTCAGTCTGCACCAGGACATCGAACTCCAGAGCCCGAGCCACGGTCAAAACGGCTATGGCGGCTTTGGCGGCGAGCCCATGGTGCAAGGCGGGGAGGGTGTCACGAAACCCAAGTCGCAGCTGGTTCAAAAAGTGGTTTCTTGCAGTTCAACAATGAAAGTTAGCACAGAATTGCCATTTGAAAAATAGAAAGGTCATCCCATGGGAAAATTGGGTGCCACAATTTTCAGACAAACCCAAATGGAGCCTTTACTTCACCTCCATTCATCCCTCAGCCAGTGGGTTGCCAAGGCGTGAGTCCGATCTTTGCCTGGGTGAACCGGCCAGAGGCGATGGGTGAATTGTGTCGTTGGTGATTGCACGATAATTCTTCCATGGATCAATGGATCAAATTCGAAGGGTTCATCCAGGGTTGAGAAAGGGTTTGGATTGTAAACTAGTGCTACGGACAAGCGTGTCGTTCGGTCAGGGTGTAGATATAATGATTGAACATGATTGGACATGGGGATTTATACCAGAGTATGGGGAAAGTGATGTTGCAAATCAGTTGGATTTTCAGGATTTTGGGACAGACCCATTTAAGCACAGGTGTTCGTTGGTGAGCGTTTCATGTGTGTTTTGGGCCACAGACGGTCAAGACTGGCACTGTAAGGCAGACAAGCAGCGGAGGGTCTGGATAAATGCCGCTTGGATACACAAAATCTTTCGTTTTTTTGTCACGTGGGTTTAGGACTCTGATTCTAATATGATCCGGTAATTCCAAATATTGTAAATCAACCAACAACATGCAGAAAACAAATATTAAAACCGAAGATCAAAACTGTGAACTGAATTTTGATCAATAAACAACATTATACAAATTTGCCCAAACCGAGGCATTTCTCTGACTATCAATAAATATATATTTAAAAATATATTGAATTTATTTTCCTATATAAGTCTATATCTATATATATATATAAATCCGAAAATTAGCTTCCATAAGATTGGGTAACACTTTATTTTATTTTATTTTTTAGGACATTACCTTTGATTTTATTTTTTTCCCTGCCAGAATTGAATTTATTTTTATTTTTATTATAAATATATATATATAATATAAATATGGGGAATTAAATTATTTTTATAATTTAATTGAAATTATATATATTTTTCCATTTATATTAAATAAGGAATTTTTTGTAAGGGTGTGGTATATTGCGGTATAACCAAAATTGGAAAACACACATATTCCTATAAATTATGGGTATAAAAATATATATATATATAAATTTTATTTATATATTTAAAACATATAAATAATGAAATAAATATATTTTTATTTAATATTAATATATAATATTTAAAATATAATTTAGAAAAATTATATTAAATATTTATACTTTATAATTTATAAAAAATATATTTAATTTAAACATATATTTGAAAAATAAAATATAATTATACATAATATATAAAATATATTATTATTATTATAATTTATTGAATTTTTAAAATTAATTTATATAAAATAAATATAATTTTTTATTTATTTATATTTTATTATTATATTTTCTTAAAAAAATATATATAAAAATCAAAAAAAAACATATATACATTACTATTAATATTACGATTTAGCCTGATCCAGAGCGCGTGCGCGCAGTTTCTCGAGGCCAATTTTCCCAAAAATCTGCTATTTTTTGGGAAAATTGGCGAATACAAACTTAGTTTGCGCGAATACAAACTAAGTCTGTGCTTCCTGAGCCCCCTGCGTGGAGGTCGAAATTTTATTACTATTTTGGGAAAAT